TATTATTACAATATTTCATGTTGTAATATTTATATCATTTATGTCAAGTAAATAATCTATATTAGCTTCGATGCGAAGCTGAGAAGGTATTGGTTTTACTATGATGTGTTATTTTTTTGTGTCTGTTACCACTTTTTCTCACCTCTCACCGAACGGATTTCTTTCAACGATACGTCAAAAGATCACAACTCGTATCTAGTTGAAGACATTACCCTTAAAAAATTAAAAAAATTCCCCCGTTCCCCGTAAATGGGGGAAACCTTCAAAAAAATTACAAATTTAAAAATCGCTAATTTTCGACATTTTTTCAATTTTTTTTACTAAAATGTGCCGTAACTTTTTCAAAAATGAACATATCAATATAATTTTTTTTTTATAGATGCATGATATCATTACCTATCATTTGATATATTTTTTTTGTAAATTTGACCCTTTATTTGCCCACAGGGGGGAATTTAAAAAGACAACTTTTTCACAAAAAATTAACTTTTTCAACTTAACTTTTGAAAATGTTCCGGAAGGTCTGACACTTTTTATATATCTTAAATTAAAGCTAATGTAATATACTTTATCATGAAAAAAAAAAATTTCGGACTTTATTTTATGTTCACAGTGAAAATGGCTACCGAATGCTAGTTTTGTGTGAAAATTTTCGATTTTGTATTTTACATTATATTTAACTTTATAATGCTATAACTTATTGAAAAGTGTATGTATCCACACAATTTTTTTATGAGAAATAATATTTTTTAATAAACCCTTTTTTATTCGACATATTTTATCTTAATCGAGATATTAATAAGGAACCAGTAGATCATGTAGCTTTTGGAATAAAACACCAATTTTTTTAAAATTAAACACTATCTAAAGATTTGCATCGAAGCGTTTATTTTTGATAGTGATTTTAATCACTATCAGATATCATTATACTTGATCCAACTATGCCACGTCATCACTGTGCCGCGACCCCCCTGTGCTGGATTTTTATAATTTTATTTCGTAAGTATTCAAATTTAATTACTCTTTATGTCGAACAAGGATGTGTAATAAAACCTGCAAAATGTTAGTAAATTCATTAAAAAACTAACATTTATAAAACACAAACTCATCAAATTAAAGAAACAACAGGATCAGCAAATAATAATAGCATTACGAGTAAGGTTTAGATACTATATAAGAGGATAAAAATTCATAAAATGATGATTGAAGGTTTGACTACGAATATCTCAGTCAGGGGTACTCACAAATGTAAGTTGTTTATTAACCCTTAAGCAGGCGCGTACCTATTTTTAACGTTCATAGTCGCGTGGGAATCTATTAGACCCCATTTCTAAAAAAGTATAAAATATGTATAAAAAAGTTCATTTTTTTTAATTCAAAGACATTATTTGTTAGCATATGATATATAAATATCGATAAAAATTAAAAAATTAAAATTAAAAAATAAATAAATGACAAAATTATGTGCATTACTAAAAATTATATTACGAAAAAAAAAAAACTTAATTTTCAAAATTTCATTAAAAAATTTTGGTTTGTAAAAAAATTATTTTAACTGCAAAATCTTATTTTTAGGACGGTAAATAAAAGCTTTTACTATTACAAAATGTATTTTTATTAATTTTTCTTGTATTTCTTTGAGCTCAAACACGGCTTATATTTATTAGTTTTATGTGTATTTACATTTATATAATCATTTTTCTTAATTGAATTTTTTTATTATTAATATTACAATACATTTAATTATTATGACACGAGTATATACAATTATTCGTTCATAGTAGCACATCGATTACCAATAATCAATGTGTCCACATTGAGACGCGATGTATTTATTACATGTTTTGTTCGTATTTGTGCCGTATCATCGAGTAGTGGAAATTCTCAATAGATTATTTATTTTTAAAACCTAATTGCACATTCGGTGGCAGATCCACATAATCCCAATTCCACAATATTATATCAATTATAACATTGCATTTACGATAAAACGATATTTTGAAAAAAATACAATTCCAAAAAAAAATTATAACGTTACAAGTCGCGTGGGGGTCAATATGACCCATTTCAACTTTGATGGATATTTTAAGTCATACATTTTTTTTTCGAAGGGATTTATTTATGAAAATTGATTTAATATTACTATAAAAACCATCTTCTAAATTTATATCTATGTACACCTTTTATGCAATATAATACATCCGTTTATATTTATGTGGGGGTATGCTAGACCCCCACGCGACTGTTTAAGGGTTAATAATATTAGTTAATTATTTTCTGTATGTTATAATTGATTTTAAAAATATAGTAATTTTTAAGTATTATACAAAATTTTTATTCTAATTCCATTATTTTTAATTGTTGTGTGTATGCGGCTAAAATTAAGTTGGGAGTGCTCAATAATCTTAATAATCAACATTTTTAATAACTAGTGTGCAAGCTGACTAGTCTCTGAGCTGAACTACCCTTCAGTCGATAAAGAGAGAAAGTAGTTGTGCCGGTGAATAACTAAGAATTATCCGCCAGTCATCTACTTTTGATCTTGATCATGCTGACGGGTCTGAAGGCTAACCCTTTAGCAGCTGTTTAGTTTGAGAGAATAGGCTGATCAAAGATACCCGATGAAAGGATTTAGGAAGAGCCTGGAATGCATTTTACGTAAAGATTGATTATTAAATTGTGTGTTCGTATCAACGGTCAGGCCAAGCCGGGATACGACAGATATTAATTAAATAACACATAATTAAATAAATGATTAGGTGTACAAAAAAATTTTTCTAAAGAGATATTGATAGAATATAAATAAAAAAAAGTTTTAAAAACATAGANATCATTTTTATATTTTTTATAATAATATTTTTAACACTTAAAAATAAAAAAAAGTTTTAAAAACATAGAAACATATAATCAAGCTAAATGAGTTAGTGTTCTTTGACATATTTCAAAAAACTAAGTATTTGTCAATTATATATGATCAATATGAAGATTAAAATCATAAAATAATTATGTTGTATGGAAAGTTAAAATTGTACACGACTAATCAAGTAACTACAATGCAAACATTTCCATCTTAATTGTTACTATATAGGGCGTTCCACGATGTATTTTGACAAATCTAATAACTTTTGATCTAGTAAATACTTAAAATAATTTTTACAGTTATGGACGGAAAATAGAAAATTCCTACGTGACACCATTAGGTCACAGCAAATAAAAAGAGATTTANGAATATAAATAAAAAAAAGTTTTAAAAACATAGAAACATATAATCAAGCTAAATGAGTTAGTGTTCTTTGACATATTTCAAAAAACTAAGTATTTGTCAATTATATATGATCAATATGAAGATTAAAATCATAAAATAATTATGTTGTATGGAAAGTTAAAATTGTACACGACTAATCAAGTAACTACAATGCAAACATTTCCATCTTAATTGTTACTATATAGGGCGTTCCACGATGTATTTTGACAAATCTAATAACTTTTGATCTAGTAAATACTTAAAATAATTTTTACAGTTATGGACGGAAAATAGAAAATTCCTACGTGACACCATTAGGTCACAGCAAATAAAAAGAGATTTACAAATTCCCACACCAGGATTCAAGTAAAAAAAAAAACAGATTTTAATTTAATAATATATATTAGTCTGTAATGATATAACCGTACAATATAATAAAATTTAGTGATTTTAGTAGCTTCAAGATGTGAAATGTCTTATATATGTTAAGTGCTAATGCAAAAAAAACTCGCTTTTGTAACTTATAAGAAAAAGTATATAAATACATTTTTTTTTTTTTTCAAAATTTATACTCCACCTACAATTTATACTCACTCAATGGATTAAAAGCTTGTAGTTCAAATATAGTAATTATTATTCTATTATTGTAATCAAACCATTAAAATTTTATAAAATTAAGGACTAAAAAATAGTTATTTTGAAATTTTGAAAAAATAATAACTTTTTTTTTTATGAGAGATAAAAAATAAAAAAAAATGCTTATAACCTGTCCAACCAAAATTGTAAAAATTATTTAAAAAATGATAACTCAAAATATTTGTTTGATCAAAAATTATTATATTTGTCAAAACATTGTGGTTTACTCTATATAATGATGAATTTTTGTTCAATTTAGCATTTTTATTAAATGTTATACACGACTTGTTTTTTGGAAAAAAAAAAAAAATTTCACAAATATACTTTAACCTAAATTTTTTTCCATTTAAAAGTGTTATAAATATTTTGTTTAATTATTAATAAATAAAATAAATAATTTGAGTTTGTTTAATCAATACACACAGAAGATATATTAATTAATTATTCATATAAAATTGTTTGAGAATATCTGTTAATACTAAGAATTTATATGTAATTGAAAACCATTATTCTATATGCATTGAGTGTCTGGTGAAACATTTCAGGAATGTAGACAGTATATCATCAGATAAAATATAGTTGTCACTATATCACACAAAAATAAATAAAGTGGGACATAATGAGGTATATGATATACCTTATATAGTTCTTAATATCTCTCCAATGATAACAAACTAAGAAAAAAAAGGAAGAACAACAGATAATTCCTTTGTTAAACATTCGAAAACAAATTTTTCTACTTGATCGAATCGTATAAAATTATTAGACACTAATTCGAATTTTTTCGGAACTACCTATTCAAGTATTCTAAAATCCTTACCTAGTTATTAGGTTGAGCATGATTTTAAATATAAATATATTTTTTTAATATATTATATTATATTAAAAGTCTAACAATTAATATTTAAATATAATTAAAACGTTTTATAAAGATTTTGGTAAAATAAAAATAAAATAAAAACTTTTTGTCACAAATCAGTAGAATTATTGTAATAAATAATTTTATTTAAATGAGATATTACTAAGTGGCGACTATTGTAAAATATAAGACTGTACAAATGATTAAATTTGCTCTTACGGTCAAAAAATTTTGATTAATAACAGTAATATGAAAACGTACCTTTGACATAGCAACTGCAGGAAATGTATCCCATAATAAATCTTCATCTTCTCCTTGATTACCTTTACGTTGTCCTTTGAAAATTCTAGAAGCAGTTAATGTTGAAGATCCCATACCATCTCCAACCAAAAAAATTACATTTTTAGCTCGACCCATTTGTCCTTCATAACCAGTTAATCTTTTTTTCAATGCCAATCTAGCTTCTTCATACCAATAATCTCGTTCTATAAATAATTTATTCTTTATTATTTTAAATATTTGTGATAAGTTTTCATTAATTTTTACTCAGGACCTATAATATATTTAACTATTACGTTTTTTTATACACATTTTTCGGATGCCTAACCGGTTTATAAAGAAATATAAAAACTTAGGCTTAAGAATAAACAAAATGAATGGATCTTTTAAATTAGTATAAATAAAAATACTATTTAATATTTATTTATTTTTTATTTTTCATAAAACCTTTAATTTTATTTGTTATACTTTCCTTTACATTACTTTTATAAAGTTCGGGTTTATCAAGATTAATCAGTTATTTTTACTTTAATTCTTATTAAATATTGAAATATATTCAAAAGCATATTTTTATTTCGGGAAATTGTTTTTATTCGTTTAAATTTTGTTATTCACAAAAATAAAAGATGAGGTGGTCAATTGCGACTACAAGTGAATTATAATTTTTCATTGAAATTTTTTTTCAATTAATATTTTAATAAAGTGAAATATTTCTTATGATTCAATTATTAGTTTAATTTAGTATTAATTCGTTTTTGATGTTTGTGTGTAGTGCATTTTATAAATTTATGTTTATCTTAAAACAATAAATGACATAATTTTATGTTATAAACATGATTTTTGTAGAATTTTAACACAAACTTAATGATTTTAGAAATATTTTACTGTAAATATTAACTTACGAAATTCCTAAAAAATTGTAGACTAATTTCGTAATATGCCCAACGCTTTATATTACGCAACTCATATTTATCAATGAAAAATTTATAATTTGTATTTTATATTACTTGAAAACAAACAAATAACTTATCTGACATGACATATACAGAGTGATCGAAATCTGATAAGACACTTATTTTCTCAGAAACTATTGAGAACTTAAAATTTTTGTAAAAAGAAAAATTATTAAGTTTATAAAACTCTACAATAATATAAAGTTAAATGAATTTTTTTTTTATCCCTTCAGGGATAAACATGTTTATTTATAATTTTTTTAAATGGGAACCACTATTTTTGATTTAATAATATAATAGAAAAAAAAATTACAAACAATTTTATTCTTATACTTTTTTTTATCCGAACAACAACCGTTTACGTTTTATAATTGTTTAAAGATTTTGACTACCAGAAAAAATATTGTCATTTATTACGTTTCATAATATCGGTGGTAGTGCAACCGGTAATTTTGTTAGAACTTTTAGTCTTACAAAACCATAGATTTAGCTATTAATAATACACCTAAAACCCGGTTTGAATCTATTATTTATCACTCATTTAGTGAGTAATAAATTTTTATTTCTAATTTACCTGTCATAACTTGATCAATAAAATTTGGTTTATGCAACAGCAAATAAAAATAATTACTTCTGTATTTAATACAGTAAAATAACAATAGAAATTTGGCCTAAAATCACTTAACTTTAACAAGCTGTAACGGACGACCGGTTAATCGAATAAAAAAAATTGTTTGTAATTATGTTTTTTATCATATTATAAAGTTAAAAATATGGGTTTCCATTTAAGAAAACTATAAATAAGGGATTTTATTCTTGAAGGGACGAAAAAAATAATGGTTTGACTACATACTATTGTAGAGTTTTTTAAACTTGATATTTTTTCTCAATAATAAAATTTAAAATTCTCATTATTTTCTGAGAAAATGAGTGTCTTACCAGATTTCGATCACCCTGTACAGTGTACACTGTTCAACAAAATTTCTTATTATTTACATGTATGTCAATTTATCCATTGTTAATTGTGTTATCTCAATATAATAATCATGTAATGTGTAATTAAATACAATAAACTAAAAGTGCTGACAACAATATTTCTGGATTGGAGGTACTATCACATATTATAAAAAGCACTGAAATCATTTCAGACAAAGTTCGCTTTCGCTGAATTCAAATAAAGAAAACAATTATCAGCCACGACCCCGTGTTGTTGTCGGCTATCACTTTATGCATGTTGTTTACCTACATACGAAAATAATTTATTTTAACTTATTATTTTGTGACGAGGTACGAATTTGATACCTCTATATATCAAAAAGTTTGTCGAATTATCTCTGAATTGCAAATTATAGCTACAAAATACGAAGTTAGTTAATTTATATTATCCCAATTATTTAGAATTAATAAATCTGAGTAGAGAACGCCAAAGCAATAGATCAGTCATTATATTAACATTGTAGAATATTATATTAGACTGGTTGATTAAGGTACATAGTCATGTTACATGGTTATTCGTGAACTAGCTTGCCGTTTCGTTGCCCTTGTGCATATTATTAGGTACCAATCAGACTATATTTTATTACACCTCAGCAAAGAGAGGTATTACATTTATTATTTTTATATCTACTTGTCTTCGCTGTTTTAAACCCATAGACCGAATAACCCTGATAGTACCCATACATATTATAATCACAACCGTTTATATACTTTTATACTATTATTTTAAATTAAACACTTAATAGGCTTTTCTTTCAACTATTCAATAATTATAAATAATACATTTTTTGCCAATAAAAATCATTATAACCTATCTTAACAAGTCTATGCTAGTTATTTAATTGTTTTTTTCTATAAAATACTTAATGCAGTATTTTATACCAACTACCTACATTATAATATTTCAATAAAAATCTAGTTGATTAACATGATAATCCTAAGCTTTGTTATAATTTTTAAATGTTTTTGATATCTATGTAATACACCGTGTTTTATCAATGACATAATTATCAAGGTTAAAAATTATTTTGAAAGGAATAACTTGTTAAATGTTAGTGTAACTCGATGAAATGAAACATGGGGCTTCAGGCATTTTGGGAACAATATTTTTTGTATTGTGCTAAAATTTGGCACAAACATAAATTATTTAGGTGAATGGTAAGATCGACCGAAAAACATCCGATGTATCACTTTTGAAATAGAGATTCTTAGTAATGTTATCTCTAAATTAATCTAACCCCAGGGAGCATTTCACGAAGATACACGAGGTGTCTAATCGATATAACACATGCTGTTTACCAATTCGATTTGAAAAAAAATTTAAAAGTTTGTAGAAGATGAAAAATATTTATAAGTATACGTAATTTTATTAATTAGTATTATTTTAATTTAAATAATTTAGTTGATAAATTTAGATCAATCATTTAATTATTATATTTTAATTGCCCGGAAATGGAACAACTACATTAAGGAATGATTTAATAATACCTTAAAAAATTGAATTATTTTTTACACAGACTAAATGCTTATATTACATTCTACTCGTCATCATTTTGAAATTTTTTTTTGAAGGTGTACATAGTTAGAATATTGAAAAATTCTCAGCGTGTCTTAATTAAAAACAGTTTTATTTTATTTAAATAATGGAGAATTAAAAAATTAATTTCCATTGTCAGCTGTATAAAAGTGATGTTTTTTTCTTCTTCCTGAATAATTACAAATGTTAAGGTACTCTGCCAACGAAATGAAAATTTATCTATTTTTTTTTTAACACGCTTTTATTAGTTTCACGTGTATGTTTGTTGTTGTTTGTTGTTTGTTGTTTGTAAGTTTGTAACTCTCCAAACGCCACGCGTTATCGCATATTCCGTTGTCTAGACTAGACTGTTATACGCATTCACCCCTCCCCACGCCTCGCTCACAATACGACGGTACACTATTCCTATAAAAATTTATTTTTAGTTATCGTACCCGTACACGCGTGCTTGTCATCAATATTATATATATGTAAACAAATTTTTATTTTGACTGACCAATAACGCCCGCGTCTAATGCGCCTTACGTATATATATATATATTCCTACCGCCGTTTATACCTCGGGTATAACGTTAGTCCGACCCGCCCGGCCATAAAACACAGCTATACTTAGTGCATGATACTTTTACGTAGTTAAGTCGCATTATTTGTATAAATATATATATTCTAATTACTATTAAAATTAATATATTAACACGATTTATTCTAATTAAGAGATATAAAGTATTCATTCCGATTACGAGGGATGATTTCCGTATCGTCATTTTTCGTCACTACCTCCACGTTCCGGGAGTGAGTAATTTACGCGCCTGCTGCTTTCCTTGGATGTGGTAGCCGTTTCTCAGACTCCCTCCCCAGAATCGAACCCTGATTTCCCGTTACCCGTAACAACCATGATATTGATAGTAACTACTATCATAACATGAAACTAAAAAGTAAAAAATAAATATAGTTTAAAAAACTAAAAAAACACGCTTTTAAAGTACATCGAACTAAAAAGTTAAAAATAATTTTTAAAATAATTATGAACAAAAAATACTAGTATTATTGTGATAAAAGCGTGGGTGCTTTGTGCCATATTTTTCGTATATTGAGCGCCCGACGCTTTTATCACAATAATACTAGTATTTTTTGTTCATAATTATTTTAAAAATTATTTTTAACTTTTTAGTTCGATGTACTTTAAAAGCGTGTTTTTTTAGTTTTTTAATTTTGTATAAACAATCCTTCACTATTTATCTCAATAAAGAATTTATCTTAACATTTTAACGAAGTTAATGGTTGGTTACGGGAGTACGCGATAGCGATTCCAATTTTACTAGACTAATTATTTATTAAACGAAGCTGTCAGTGACCAAATAACGAACTAACGATGATGTGCGTCAAGCTCCGCTGTATCATCGACTCCACCACACCGACCCTCTTATCATCACCATATATTGAATTTTTTTAAAGATATATTACTAACAAAATTTTTTTCTTTACTGAAAACATAGAAATAAGCTAATATCCTTAAAAATAATGTATATTATATTACATTGTATAATGGCCGAAGTGGATAAATAAAAATATAAGTTATATATTTTTAGAGAACTCAAAAAATACTTATATCTTATGTTTATATTAATTTATAAAATTCAACAAACATGAAAACTTAAAATTATCTATGTATAAAAATTATTTTGATTCATTTATTATTAACTAATATATATTTCTAACA